TGTGTGTGTGTGTGTGTGTGTGTGAAAGTGCGTAAGTGTGCGTGTGTGCGATGCGTTTGTGCAACAAACTGCAACACTTTCAAACAACTTTATCACGAACAAATCTGAGAGGCGAGTTACTAAACAACTGACTGACGGCCTGTCTGTTTCACTGACTGGCTGACTGCTTGACTGACTGACTAGCTAACTGGCTGACTGGCTGGCCTGATTGAAATGCGACGAGCGCGTCGACGTGCAGAGTGGGTGGCACTGCCAGTGGAAGGTTGCATGTCTGCCTGTCGGCCTGTCTGCCCCCTCCCCTCCCCAGCCCCACCAGCCCCTTGCCCAGTGCGTATGTATTAATTAGTGTCAAGTGTTGTCGCTTTGAGTTACGCGCCCGGGGAATCGGAGTGCGTGTCTCGTCGCGGATACAGAAGCTGGAGCTGGAGCTGGTGCTACTGCTGCTCCTGCTTCTCATTCCCCACCCCCCCCCCCCCCCCCCTCGTTTCCCCTCATATCCACACCTCTTCTTCTTTTAGCAGGCGCGATAATACAAAGCGATAGCGGCGGCCACTTGTTTGCACTGAACGTTGACGTTGACGTCGACTTCTTGCCGCTTCGTTGCAGCTGCACTGCGTAATCGATGATGACACGTTTTGCCTTTGCCTATGTACATTAAATACATATGTATGTATGTACATACATCTACATACTCGTATGTGTATACACTGGAGAAAAATGCTGGCTGTTCCCATTCAAGAGAACCTTAAAGCTTAACTTCCTAAGACTTACGGAACAATTGCATATTTTTTAGTTCCTTGAGTTTTTGCTTAATAGACCAATTAATTTTGTTATATTGAACAAGAACTTCTATGCACGTTATGGTTCCTTTTTGGTGTTTAAATGGAACAAAACAAACAGGTACAGTCGCAATCGAGTAAACGAATAAGAAAAGCCTTTGAAATGCCAAATCTTAGGATAAGTGCTTAGCTGAATCCTTCCTAGCCTCCAAAGCAGCCAAACTGCGCTTCTCTTTAGGGTCGATAGACCCCTTTTCAGATACCCCGACTTCTTACGAAACACCTGAAGAACAACTTATATTTCCAGCTCCATAAATTCTTCTACATTTTGACATTAGTCTTCATCAGAATATTTACCACATTTTTAATATAAATATGACATACATAATTCCGAAAGCAAAATTTCATCTTAAAGAACAAGTAAATCTACGAATAAATGTTCAAAAAATATAAGAATTGTTCCACGCTAGGAAAGAAGCGGTTGGGAATTATAAATGGCAAAACATAGTAAGTTCTTCATCGTCAAGGATTTTAACATCACTTCTAGGTATTATTTTTATTGATATTTGCTTTGTTTTTTTTTTTTTCTGTGTATACGTTCGTGTTGGTGTGCTGCTGCCTTTTGCTATTGGAAATTGCCGCCCAGAAGATGACAGGCGGATCGGCAATTGCTGGCCAGACTGGCATAGAGAGCTTTGGAAAATTTATAAACATACTATTTTTGCGCATCCAATTACATTTATGTGCTCGTAAACAAAAAATTCTGCACAGCCTGCTTGGCAGCGGCTGCAGCAGCACCAGAGACGGCAGTAATTATCAACAGGAGGCTGGTCCGTCGGCCCGACACATGTGCCCAGAGCGGCGGACATGCTGCTCCTCCATGTGGTCGGAGTTCTCTACGAGGACGGACGGAGGCTGGTTGGGGAAGAGGCAGCGGCATTGTTTGCCGTCAAGTGTTTTCTAGGTGCCCGCAACTCGGCGAAGCAGTTTCGTTTTTAGTTCCACAAGTCACAAAAACATTTCATAGTCTCATGAAGAATTCATGTTAATGCACCATTTGCTGTGCCATGGGGCGTATGCGTAATATGTGCAAAGACTCCTATGCAAGTGCTAAAAAATTAAAAACTGCGTTGCAACTCCAACTCTGGGCCTATTTTAGAATGACAAAAGCCGTCAGCGTGCTCGCCAAACTGTAATTCAACATTTTAATGACAAGTGATGTCAACATTAACTTGAAAATGAATTCAGGTGTGTATAATTGGAAATTTGAAGAAAAGTAAAATGCAATGCTAAGCAAAACCAAATAAGCTGAGAATTAAAAAAGAAAGCCTTCAAATTGATAGTAGGTGTTATTAGAGCAATATATTAACTATTGCATTGAAGAGTCTAAGCTGAGCAAAATAAATGAAGAATGCTGAATGAATGAACAGTTTTCTTTTCAAATAACTCATAACTATTATTTAACTTGAAATTTATTCCCATAATTTAACTTTTAAAATATTGAGACAATAAGAGCATTAATTAATAGATTATAAACGTGAACGTACGAGTACTATACTTGTAGTATTTATTCATTTTGAATGACCTGCCTTTGAATTGGCAGCTTTATTTCCCGAATATTTTGTATGAATTGAATGCATATTTTATTCTTGGTTAACCATTTGCACCTTAGTTGCTCCAAATATAAGTTCATGACCTTTTATCAGTGCAGACTTAGCCACTTATACTATTGACAATGTACATCAACAGTCCAAGATTCTGGGCTACTTTCTGATTCTAAATTGAATTCCCATCTTTACATCTCAACTATCGTAAATTTGTATTTTTTACAAAACGTTTAATTCAATGACCCCTGGACTAAGCCGCCACACAGCTTATGTGTTTGAAGACCTTAGTATATGTTTTAGAGCTTTTTTTACTTAGGTGATGCATGAAAAGTGTTCTTATTACAATAAACAACAATTTTATTTTACATAATATCAATATTGTCTGACTCCTTTTTTTTGTTATTGTTCATGCAGGTTGTTGTTTTTTTTTTTTTTTAAATAATTTCTGCTGCACATTTGAATTAAAATTTGCAGCATACTTCACATTTTATTGACAAAAAGAAATGGAACTAAATTTTCATGAACGGCACGAACGCCATCTGTCCACTACAGGAAATTGGCAGCTTCCCTCCGAACCGCTACCATCGTCGTTTCCTCTATCCCTTTCAGAGAGAGAGAAAGATAGGGAGAGAGAGAAAGAGAGATGGCGATCATCTATAGAGGACTTAAGCCCCTTAAGCCAGCTGTCGAAAGAGGTGGGTAAAGCTACATTGGCACAAATCTATTGTTATCCTATCATATATATATATATATATATATATCATATATTTGTTTAATTATTTATAAACCTCCTTCATGGCTTCATTAGAAATTTCAGTTTTCTAACTTGTTTGTTTAAAATTGTTATCGATATGATTGGAAAAGTTATACAGTTTGGCGCAGTTTTTCAAACAATTTACAGTAGAGTTTAAATCGAATATTGACAAATTCAACATTTTTAAACACGCACTGTCGAGCAAACAAATTAATTTGAAGTTTAGCTGAAGCCAACTTTAGAACTAACAACTAAGTTTGACATTTCGAATCCTTGGGTCAGGTGAAACAAATCTGATAGAATCAACAACATGAATTGATTAAAATTGAAATGTATTCGTCATGGCATTTGAAGCAGTAAGACGCAATACCGTTGGCGCAATCTCCCTCTGCTTTCAACGATCTCTCACATGTGAGATCGCCCGCTAAGCCACAAGACACACCAAGAAGTAGAAAGAAAAAAAATAAAATATAAAAACCCTGACCGACCGCAATGAAAATTGCACCATTGATTGGTTTTTGCACGGAGACGGAGACGGATACGGAGACGGACACGGATGGTCGTAAAGCGCCTCCAAAAACAGAATTATGTCGATCTGGGCGAGGAACATCAAATGTTCGAACTGCCGGCGATTGGCGATTGGCGATGTTGGGCGTTTGGTGTGAAAAATTGTTTTTGCTTAGTTGTTGCCACGCCGGTTGCGGCATCAGCTGCAACTTTTTGTTTCTGCGCTGCGGGCTCGTGCAGCAATGCGGGAGAATTATGTGGCACCTCCATAATGCTGTTCCAGTAATAATCATAATAATAACATACCTCGATATGCAAGCGTATGCACGATATACACGTATGGCAGTTTTATGTTTTCTAGACCATGATCTTGTTGTTGTTGTTAGTTGCTTGGCTGTTGCCAGTGCAGGTTGTGGCCAAGGCCTGAACAATTAAAATGCCGCTTGAAACATGTTTTCAAACTTGCAGCAACCATAATTGTTAATTAATATAAGTATCTATCAAATGATTTTCTTCTGGCTGGCATTAATTTGATATATTATATTTTTGTTGTTGCCCCCTCTTACACGTTGTTGTCAGTTAATAATCAATTATGGGTTGTCATTGACCTCCAAAACTGGTAGACGAGCTATCGGTCTTTCTTTACATCCACACCCAGGCCTAATAGCTCAGCAATTACCTTATTTTAAAGCCGCTTAACTCTTATTTTCTTCTATTTATGAAATCATAATTTGATATTTCAACATAGTTGTCAATCAAAGCGATTTCTATTGTTGCTGTTCCCTCGCACGTTACTTCCCTAATAAGACATTCATTCATCTTTTCATAGTTTTTTTTTTTTTTAAGTTTAACTACCTCCGAGATACGGATGCTTGGGTGTGTGTTTTTGTATCTTAACGGGGCGTTGTTGGTAGCCCTTTGGCTGATGTTTTTGTTTTTTGCTTTTTGTGTTTCTGTTGCCACTTTTGCTTTGTTGTTGTTGCTGTTAATTTTATCATTATGTTTATTTTGTTGGCGTGGCTGCTGCTGTTTCTGCTGCTGGAGTTGCCAACAAAGTCGCTGCCGTTTGGAATGATGATGATGGCCCGCTTTGAAACACGCCAAACATCGTTTTGACAGCGTCAGTTTGCGGCTTTAAACAACCCACGCACTTGTCAAAATACTAGATTCGTCGTTTATGATGTCTTCTACCCAACTACCTGCTTATGCAGGTTGATAATTTTGTTTGGGTTTGGTTTGGCGTTTGAAAGCCGCTTTGTGCCTCTCAATGCGCACCATTCTTTAAATGGGGAGCTTATTTACTTAAATATTACCTGCTGGTGTGGGTACATTATACATACATACTATACATACCTCATAAATACACGAACGAGTTCTGAAAAAACAAATAGTGGGAAAAGCAAACGTTATTTACAATTTTGGCATTAGGGGCAACGTATTTTAAATTTCTGAAGATCAAATTACAATACAAATTTAATGCACAATTTATTTAAATTGTACGAAAATGTAGGTGTACTATAATACCAGATTTCTTTTTTGGAGCTCTTCTCTGCTAAAACTATCGGATTGAATATTATTGTACGACGTTTCTGTCGGTGGAGAAACACAAAATTTGTACCAATTATGTGAGGATTACAATACATATGTCTCTACAACGGACCCTGAATCTCTTAAGCCTCGAATATCAAGCAAGCCATTTGTGAGACCGAACCAGAAACCGTCAACAAGTTTGGGAAAACTGACTTACCAGTGTTGCCAACAGGAATAAAATCGTGTTACATAAATAATGGGAACGTTTAATTTTCTTTTCTTATTTTTTCTTTTTAATTTTAGATGAAATTATTTGGACCACCCTATAAAAAAATGTACTCTTAAAAAACTTGTAATATGACTAATGATTTCATTTGAGTGAAATTTTATTGAAAGATATATTTCTTCTTTAAACTGTTAACTGCTTGATCCTATAACACAATTCGAGATATTATGCCTTGAACGATTTATTTCTTTAGGATACCATCGGCTGCTACGATAATTTCTTAATTAATAAGTTCATGAAAAATTACGTTCACTGCCTCATAGTCTGATAATGGAAACTTATAGTTTAGCTGGATCTTTTAGTATTTTTTAGTAACATTTTTATAATTTTGAAGACTTGACTCGACTTTGCTAATTTAAGTTTCTTCTTTAATACACAATTCCCTATTAGCTTTGTTAGTTGTGATGTTTCTTAAAAGAGCCTTTCTAGTTTTAGATTCACTTTTTGAATGAAGCTGTGATGTTTCTTAAAAGAGTTTGAGATTTATTTTTTGAATGAAGCTTTATCTTATAAAGAGATCGGCTGGAATGCTGTTTGTTGCACTGCTTTGCAATTCTTACTAGATTTTCTCGTTAGATTATTTAGAATTTGTGGCAAAAGTTTTCTTAAAAATAAGCTTTAATCATTCAAAAATGTTCGTTTGTAATGAAAGTGCGCATTCAAGTATGTATCTAGTTAATGCTGACTTCGAAAAGTGGATTTCTTTCGGATGCCAAAAATAATCCAAGTGCTAAGTAACTTGAAGTTTTGAAAAACGTACTTGGTTTATTGAAAAATGTCTCTGGTAAAAATCCATCGAAGCTTTAAAATGAAATCACCAATGATCCTCTACCACAACCTCCTTCCAAAACTGTCATTTTTCAATTCATACGATTATTAATTCGAGTAAAGGATTTTAATTGATAGCATCCTAGTATTCTTCGTTTGCTCTCCGAATATCAAAGGCATTGTAAGTAGACACAACTGTACCTGATTTTGTCAAAAGTGTTGCATACTTCAGGGCGTTCAAGCCCCATTATAATGAACATATACACAAATTTGAAGTGCAAGTCGCGACGATGACGCGACAATTCTACCACAACACGTTGCACCTACCCCCTATGGGCCCCTCCACTCCCCCCCGCCCACATCACAGCTCAGCCGAGTGGCCAAGGGAGATTCGTCGTCGTCTGTCTAGCCAAAGATTGCGTTAAATGCAGCTATTGTTGTTGCTGCTGTTGTTGTTGTTGTTGTTGTTGTTGTCTGCGCCCAGACCTGAGCTTGGGCAGCGCACAAGTCTCAAAGGCAAAAGACAATTGAGTCTGAGAGTGTAATTTGCAACTGCCTGAGACTGCCGCTGCCACCGCTGCCATCGCTGGTGACGATAATCATGACGATGACGATGTGGATGATGATGTTATGGCTTAAGACTCGGTCTCAGGCTTCGCAGACTCAGGATACCAAATAGCGGCAAACCCGGCAGGATGAAGTGTAGTCAGAGCCAGAGTGTAGAAGCGACTGTCGCCTAATGAGTGGGCAGGGCGGGGGCCGCTGGCAGGGGAACGTGCCAGTCATGACTTTGTCAGTGCACCGCTCCTCCTGCCCCGGCTGCCCCGCCTGCTTCGTCTTCTGCTGTTGCAGCCTGTCGGCGCGACATGTTTGTCGTTTTTGCCCGACTGCATTCTGTTGCCTGGAAATGCACTTTGGCTGCTCCTGCGCCTGGGCTTGGGCGACCAAAAAAACTTGCAACGACGATGATGACGACTACAACAACAACAACAACAAACACAACAGTAACAACAACAAAAGCGGCGCGGCAACAACAGCTTGACGAAATATTTTTGCACAGTAGCTGCCGTTTCTGCAGTTGGCGGCCGACATCGCCGTCGTCCTGTGGCATATCCAACAGGCGTTAATAATACTTTTTTTTCTCTACATAAAATGCAATGCATTTTCCCACTTTGTTGTTGTTGTTGTTGCTGCTGCTGCTGTTGCTGTGTTGCGTTTTTTTTTTCAAGTTTTTCCTTTTGGGCCTGCCTGGGATTTGTGTGTTTTTTTTCCGAAACTTTTTCATTTTGTGCAGTCAGTCAAATGTTGTGCAGCAGCCTCTACATCCCACTGCCCCGCCCCGCCCCCCTCTCCTCGCCTGACGCAACCGACGTCATTGAGAGTGCATTGACTGAAGTCTAGCAGCAAATAGCAAAGACCAACAAAAACAAAAAACACACAAAAAATAAACGACCAAAACCTGCCAAGTGTGTGTGTTGGTGTGTGTGTGTGTGTGTGTGTGAGAGAGAGAGAGAGTTAGGGCTGAGGGGGTGTCGGGGGAGGGAGAGAGACTGACTTGGCTTGGCTGGCTCGCTGCTCCTGCCAGACTGCACGGAGTTTCCTTTTGTTGATGTTGCAACATGCGTCGGCGTCAGCGACAACGACAGCGTCAGCGTCAACGTCGGCAGACGTCAGTCAGGCATCTCAGTCGCAGACACTATGAGTAGAAGGGGTGGGAGTGGGGTGGGGTGGGGTGAGGGTCGCAGTTGCAGTCACAGTTGCTGCAAGCGGCTCAAGTGTTCAAAAGTTCAGTAGCTGGGCTTTTTGTCTTACGGGAAACGTTTTAGGCTCTCTAGCCAGAAAGAATTGCCAACTCATGCTTGCCGCTGCTTTACAACTGTGTTCACACACATGATGTGTGTGTGTGTGTGTGTGTGTGTGTGTGTGTGTGTGTGTGTGTGTGTGTGTGTGCGTCCAAGCTATGCAAAGGTTTGCCATAATTAACGCTTAGCTTTGGCCCGACAGTTAAGTGTTATTAGTTTGAGCTTTTGTGCCCTGAACGCTGTATGTTTTTTTTGGCATTGTTTTTAGCCGCGATTGCAGTTGCATTCCGTCCGCCATTCCGTTCAAGTCAAAGTCGTTGCCCTTGGAAGGCGACGTCGCAGCTGATTTTTGTTTACTCTAGACGCTGTACACGCGAAAAAAAGGAGGCTGGTGTGAAAGTCTGTTCTAATTTATCGATGCAACAAGAATTATAAACAAACATTGAATAAATGTGATATTTTGTTGAAAAATAAAGTCACACTCTAAAACAATATTTGAGATTTGGGAAGCTTAGTTTTGAAAAGTGGGTTCTGAAGAATTGAGGGAGGGACAACAGCAACTGGACCGGAACTGAGTGGACTGGTGGAGGTACATTCCAAAAGTTTTAAAATTTAAATATTAATTTGCATTGCATGTTAGGTCCTGATTTAAAATCATTCGCAAGATATTTGGCCAAACCTTTTAAATTGATTACAGACGCTGTTATTTGTTCGCAAGAAATGAAATGTCGGACAACATCATTATCCCCCTTAATATGCATCTTGTTGTCACACAATCAGCATCTTGAAACCATTTTAATTAAATATTTCTTCTACTCTATTTAAGTACATATCAGACTAAGTTTACATTTACTATATGATTTTTTAATATGTATGCACAAATCTTATATTTGCATTTTGTGGTTAAATGCAATTCGTAAAATGACTTTTGCTGCTTGGTGCTTTATGTTATAATTGTTTTTTTAATATATTTTTTTTAAATTTTGCTACAAATCTTTTTCTATTTTTAACCTTTGGGTGATTGCGACTTAGCAGCCGTGCTTTGAGGAAGTTGGTAAGAAAAAACCTTTTTTTTTTAATTTTTGTAGAGAGTTTTTCAAAATATACGAATATTTTTTGATTATTTTGATTAGTTTATTCGGTTTGAAAATAGTTTAGTCACGATGCAATTTAAATAAAATATGTTTCAAACTCTTTCATTTTCACAAATTTGTTGAGGTTCCTTTTCTTTTTTACATGACAGAAAATGCTCCATAATCTACTCTGATTTCTAGCATAGTAGAAAGATGGATTGTTGCACTTATATCTTCTATACTTGAATTCCCCTTAAATGTTAACTTATCGCGCTTAAATGTTCTCTAACATATTCCAGATGCATTTGGTTTTCGAGCATTAGTTTCTCTCAGTGTACATGCATACACAGTAGGCATAAAAAGCTGCTAGTGTGGCGCATGTCTGCAGCCCGGGGGCCACGCACTTGACTGCCAAGTTGGACTGCCGGTTACATACATAGGTAGGTGGTTATATGGGAGTCCGACTCCTCCACCTCCCTGCCACCCTCAAAGCCAACATAATGAACACAAACATTTAACGAATTTGCGTTAAATTTCAACTGTGTTGTTGCCCAACACGAGCGCGCCAAATTGCAAAAAGGCCACCTGCCCAAAAAATTGTGTTCTCTTCTCTCTTTCTTTTAAAGGAATATTTTTCGACAGAAACGTCGACGTGAATCATTAAAATGGCTAAAAGAAGAAGAGGGGGTGAGTGGGAGATGGGGAGAGGGGAAGAGGGGGAATGCGCGGCGGAAGGGCAAAAGAAAACATTTGCAAAATTGCAGCGCCAGTGAAGCTTGAGCAAAGGAATATATACAAATAAATAAAACAGAGAAATACATACAAATAAAATACATTTAATAGGAGCGTTTCCTTCTTTTCGCATGAAAAAATGCTGTCAGAGTCGGAGACCTGCACTGCAGGCTCATTGGCAAGA